TCGACCCTGCACACCACCACCGTAAGTTGCCGTCAGCAGACGCGTGTTGGGAGGATCAGGTACGCGGTGGTTCAGCGATCTTCCCGGGTGCAGAGCATTTCTGGGGAATTTACCGGAATTTCTTCCCAGGCGCAGAAGCCTTCATTTCTTTCGATTGCGTGCGAACGCTGGGCCTTCCAGGTTTGAGTTGAAGCTGACATATGGGGTCCTTACGGCAGACCCTGCCGACGGTACCCTGCCCCGGACGGGGGCTTGATGGAGTGCAAGGTGTTCAGCCAGCCAGCCGACGGCTGTCGGCGGCCAGCGCTGCAGCCACAGCGAGCTTCCTTCTCAACGAGGCAAGGTGAGAGACTGTGACGGCGTGGAGAAATAGAGAGTAATGGGGGCTGGCAGGGAGTTTGAAGGCGGCCCATGTCGACTGTCGGTCCATGTCCCACTTCTCCAGCCACGGAGAACCGTACTGCTGCTTCTTTTAGGAGGGGAGGCCGTGTATCGAACTGCTGAGATCCAATAGCTCGGGGCGCGTCCCCACAGCTGTCGAGGCCTGGAACTTGTGACCACTGGTTGTTGGTGCGGGCAGCAGAGATAGGTTTGCGTCTCAGACTGGGGAACTTCGAAGCAGAAAACGCCTTGGTCGGTTTACTGACGCGAAAGGACATACTTCGGAGAGCAGCCATGGTGACGAGGGCAGCCCTACATGTCTGCTCATGCGTCATTCACGAGGAGACCGAGGTACAAAAATTGTTGGCTGTCGCGCTGTCTAACATATGACGTTGTGTCTTGGATCGAGAAAGAGGTGTCTTCATGTAGTGTGCTGAGACACACAGGTCCCAACCCAAGTAAGCATCAAGCGAATAGGCGAAGCAACGAGGCGAGGACACCCTCTCAACATGTCTGCCATCCTTAGCCCGCGCAGGCAGTGAGACCGTTCCTGTCTGCATCCCCCCGTGGCCGCCAGTGGTCGTGCAGCCCGCCAATGCAGGCACCGGTCTTTCTGGAACGCCACAGGGAAGCGCAGAATGGGTAATGAGGGGTCGCATCCGCACTTCGGTGTGTGTGGATCATGCCGGAGAGAAGGGGAGACAAGATGTCGTCGTGGTCGTGTTGAGTAAGTGTGTGAGACGCATCTTGGCATCGTACTAGCATGATGTTGACCTGCGCCAAGACCCCATTCGCCATTTTCCACGCATCGATCAAGCTGGCAATCATGCGATCGCGACCAGAACACGGCTGTCTGTGGCCCGCCGCATCTGACCCGGAACCAATTTGACGTTGAACCACCTGCCTGCCTGCGTGCCCATTGCCGTCTCGGTTCCCTTCATCCTCGAGAGGTGGTGTTAGGATGGCGCTGAGAAGGCGTTCTCGTCGATGAGCAAGCCATATGAAGCAGAAGCACCTTCAGAAGCACCTTGTCCGCTACCTAGTCCCTGTCCTGGCCCTTGTCCTGGTCCCTGTTCTCTTCTGCTCTTTCCTTGCCTCGCGACATGTCTTCAGCCTTCCTTCGCCCCGAGTCCCCGCTGCCATGCTGACAGTGGCGGGGCGAACAATTGTTTTGCCTGTCTATATCCTCTTCGGAACGAGGGCGCATTCACGACGGGGACCAGGGTCAGCCGCAGCATTGGGAGCTCGCCCGGTCCGATTAGCTTATTCGGGCCCTGTGTGGGCACGATCGAAACTTTGTCGGTCGAGCAGGAGAGCGAAAAACTGACGATTTCCACTCTCTTCCTGCTCCTCTGATCCTCTGCCCCCCTCCCTCCTTTCTCCTCAAGAGCGAGGCCGGGCGGTGTTGGGGGCAGATGAGAACGCCAGGATGCGCGCTAGAAGGTGGACTCGGTCTGGCCTGTTGAGCGAGAGCCTGGGGAAATAAGGCTTGGTGGCCGGGGCGGGCAGTCGTGATGCACGCCGACGCATCGGGACACGGTTATGCCTTTGCGCCCCCCTCGTCCACCGCCCAGCTGCCCCGGCCGGCGAGGGACGATGAGGGCCGAGAACACACAGGGCAGAGAACGTGGATTCAGAGTCTCCACGAGGTTGGGCCGAACATGTGCACGCTGTCGACTTTGCCTCGACGACGGCACTTTTTCTGGCGCAGCAGAGAGGCGTGAGGACGGCGCCGAGAGTGGCGCTGCCCGCGGGGGAGATGAGATTGGCAAATGAGGTCTGCGGAGAGCGAGGGAGGGAGTGCAGGCGAGATCACATGCGGCTGGAAGGAGAGGTTGGGGAGCTTGCATCATCATCATCTTCCTCTTCTTCCAGTTCTTTGTTTTCATGTGTTCCCGGGGAAAGGTGGTGTGATAACACAACCAACAGCGGCGAGGGAGTATGACAGCGGAAGCGATAATTTCATGCAGAGACGATAAACTAATCTTCCCCAGACAGCAGTAGCGCGCCCCATCACACAAATCTGATATCCGGGCGGATGAGTGGACGGCGCAGACATGGGAACGCCTTTTGCTGTCGATCTCGGAGGTGATCGGGGACGGGGAAAGAGCATGTGCTTGACGACACATCGAATGTCGTACATGGGCGGGCATGTTGCCCACAATCACAATGAAATGGTGGATGAACGATCGACAACCTCTGTCTGTCATGGCGGAAGACAGCACCGAGGGCCTACTTGGGAGGGAGGTGATCGTCCGACAGTGTGGCAAGCCCGTTGATGTTGTGGATCTAAACTTTTCTTCCCTGTGTCCGAGGACTTACATGTACTTGTCTTTGCCTCGTGTCAGTGGGCTGACCATGCCATTGAAAAAAAACATGTGCCTGTCCCCTCCCCCCTTCCCTCAGACCATAGTTCTCCCAATTCTTACGACGATGTCCGTTGTCGTCTTTCACCCTGTGAGCCCATGCCTGTCGCTCTCTTTGACCCTCCAAACTAAGGTAGGATGTCTGTCGCTGCTCCGGGTGGGTGCCGTGTCTCCCGCGCCCGTCCGTTCAGCGCTCGCTCTTGGCAAAGCCGCGTTCCACCGAGTTGGTCTCTTGCACCCCTCGTGGACGATTCGGGACGCAGGCCCTGCCAGGTTATCCACGCGGGTTACCACCCCGCGTAGCATCTGCGCTCCAACAGAAAGCTTGGCTGCGCGGCCGTCGGCGGTGAAAAGGGTAACGTTGCCCACGCGGGAAGGGAGCCGAGGGAATAGGGGATCCACGCGCATCACCGCACAGGCAGGACTATCATTTCTCCTCTGTTCCCGGCATCGTCCATTGGAGGTGGAGACCAGGGGCGGGTAAAGAGAGAGGGTAAAAGGTGCTTTTACAATGCGCCGGGAGCCTCTCCCTCTCTCTCCATCCTCCCCACCGCCAGTGGTCTGCTCCCATGCCTGGTGAGAATGGGTCAAGGCTGAACAGACTATGCTTCGAGAGCGTACGGTTTCTTTCACCCGGGATCAGGTCGGCGCCGTCAGCCCACATGGATAAAACAGTAGACAAGGAGAAAGGATAGAAAGGCTTGCTTGGAGGGGCCATGGTTTTCTTACTCGCTTCTTTGAACCGTGTGGGTTTTTTCTTCTTCCTGGGGTCCGCAGGCAATGCGACCTCGCTCCAGTGTCATGTCCAACGTCAGACGCGCTTGTGGGTGGTCGTTTTTTTGTTGTCGATAGGTTACATCGAGCTCGGGGACTGCGAATTTCGGTTGTGAGGCTCAGGAGCTCGATGGAGCACGGCGTACCGTGAATCATGGGGGGCGCGGATTGTGCGTAGGACAGGCGGATAAAGAAGCTTGCGGTGACGCGTCTCGAATGTTGTTGACGGGCGAGGGTGCCGCAAAGAGACGACGTTGAAGCTTTGGACGGTGAAGGACACCAAGGAAGGTCAACAGCAGGACGGGGCGATACCTGTGGCAGGAAACATTGTGTGCCGGTAACGGAGCGGATGCAGATATTGAAACGAGCTCGTCTTGCTGTGTAATGGAGGAACAAAGACGTTATTGTGCATAGAATATCCGTCGGTGAAATATCACAACAACCCCCTCGCCACATGTAGCAGAGCCTCCATCACCATGTCCAACCCGAAACAGCGAGGTGGTCCGCCAACTGCTTGCACTGTTCGAGTTCACCAGAAAGGACATCATCGAGGATACCACTGGCGCGTTCCCTTCGGCATCGTTGCTTCCGAGGACTCCTACATCACCAGAAACCACAAATCCCACGGTACCCTCACAACAAGGTATCTTCGCCACTCGGTCATGAAACAAGCGACCCGCGTGGTAAAAGTGTGAGTCTCCAATGCGAGTTGGTCTAGCAACCAGCAGACCTGACAGTAGTTTCCTACGAGAGCAGAATTATTTGTTCGCAGAACCGCATTTACCTTGGCTGTCATGTTGTGACAAGCCTCTCCTTATGGATCATTGTCGATGCTTTGAGTAACGACCCGAGAACATCCTACTAGGACTTGAGGAAGGAACTGCAGTGTCGTACCAATAGCCCCCCCCGATAGGTCTAGCATGACGAGAGTCAACTTTGGTCTGAGAGTGACAGAACCAGACACCACGAACGCGTTTGGCGACGAGCAAGATAACGAATAAGTGTCTTAAGCCAAGTACAGACAGTAATACAGAAAGCTATTATCGCAACTCCGAATCCCCAAAACTCCAAGAATCCAAACGCCCATGGCAGAATAAGAATAAGCACGGAGAAAACGCGATGCGTTGCGGATACATCACAACGCGCTCCCCATGTGTGGGATGATGCCAAGTCATGCAAGACGCCATGCCACACAAGCCTAGATGTATCTCCGTTCACAAAACAGGAATTGGAACAATCCCCTCTCTCCGGCCCGCCGTTGCCAATGTTATCAAAAACTCAACGCCACTGCATGCAGAAACACATGAGCCTGGTCGTGTGTCGTGTTCATCATAATCGTAAGCTCTCCGTGAACAAAACTGACACGCCGCAAAAACGCCTCAAAAGAGCCTCGAATGTTCAGTCAAACCATCGCCAAGCATGCTGTCCTCAGACGACATCGCTACGGCCTCCGCTACGCTTCGGTCTTCCTCCGGGTCCCTAGATGCCGTTGGAAACCTTCCGCGCCGTTGCTGAGGACGGGGCGCCGCTGATGCTGCCGACACGGCCGCTGGTCTTGCGGACGCCATCCTTGGAGCGAAGAGGTGACTCGGTGCCGCGCTTGCTGCTGCGGACCTTGGTCAGGATGCCCGACGCACTGCTAGCGCGCTCACGGTCCATTGCCTTGACACGGGCAGGGCTGCCCATGTTCTCGACATCGTGGGTAGAGTCGTTGTCGATGTACTTGTGGTACACGGTTGTTGTGGTCGAGCTGTAGGATCGCATCTTCTCTGAACGGCTTGGTGACTCGGAAGGTTTGCGGTGCGCACGCATGCGGAGGTGAATCTCCTCATCCGACTCGCCGGCGTTGGATCGCCTGTGAACCGAGAGGACCTCAGTCTCGTGCTCAACGCCGCCTTCCTCCTCGAGTGTGGCCGAGTACGAAGGGGCACGCGAGTAAGGGTGGTGGCGGTCGGCACGGCCGGTTTTGCGTGAGCTGGCCTGGTGTAGGGGCGGGGAGGTAGTCTTCGTGAACGGCAAGAA